AGCGCCGTTCCCCTCCCCCCCTCCTCCCCCCAGGCCTGGCTGGTGGAGAACTTAGGCCAGGACACGCACAGGAAACCAACTGGCAGGATGGCTAGCAGCACCCGCCCCCCTCAGTCACACAAGGAGCCTGGATGTGATGGTATCGCCTTATTTTGCAAATGAAATGTGAAGCTCAGGGTCAGTAATAATTTCATCCGCCATGGGCATGGGCGGACCTGCTCTTTTTATGTTTAATATGTATTTCTTTTATTGGTTTCAGAGAAGAAGGGGGAGGGGAAGAGAGAGAATCATGGATCAGCTGCCTCCTGCACACTCTCTACCGGGGATCGAGCCTGCGACCGCGCATGTGGTCTTGACTGGAATCGAACCCGGGACCCTTCAGTTCGCAGGCCGACGCTCTATCCACTGAACCACACTGGCCAGGGAGGATGGAGCCTGCTCTTAATGCCAAAACCCGTGGCCGGCACGACTCGCCCAGGCCTCTCTCCCTCGGTGCCAGCCCCGGCCTCCGCCAGCAACACTCCGCTGGTCCCGGGCGCCCGTCTTCTCCCCACTTCCCGCCTCTCCACTTGCAGTTCCAACGCCTGGAACATTCTTTCCGACGGTGTGTCTCACTCACATCGGTGTTTCTCTCTGCCTTTCCCTCCCTCTCCCGCTCTCTCTCGAAATCCACGGAGAAACAGCCTCGGTGAGGATTTAAAACACAAAAGCAAGGCCGAGAGAGATGCATGTTTAACGCCCGGCTTCCCGCGGTGGGAGGCGAGTGCACGTCGGTTAGTCACGCAGCCGTGTGCGTGGATTCTTTCCTGGCGTAAGTTGTGCCTCGAGGCTGTGGGTGGGGCACGGAGGCGGAGGTGGGTCTCCTGTGGTTACCGCCCTCAGCCCTCACCCCTCGGGACAGACGCCGAGCCCGTGTTTGGAACCTGCACCAACGAGGGTGGTTGTTTCTCATCATCAGTCAGATCGGGAGGACCTTCGGGGTGGCCTGGCCACGGGGGTGAGACACGGCCTGGCCATGGGGGTGAGACGCGGCCTGGCCATGGGGGTGAGACGCGGCCTGGCCATGGGGGAGACGGGGCGGCCTGGCCGTGTGGTGAGACGCGGCCTGGCCGTGTGGTGAGACGCGGCCTGGCCACGGGGGTGAGACGCGGCCTGGCCGTGTGGTGAGACGCGCCACTCACTCAACTGTGAGGAGAAAACTGTATTGGAGACACGGGCCGAGGGCAGAGAGACTTACAACTTCCCCGCGGCCCCAAGCCCGCAGGCGGCTGGTCCGGATGGAGGCTCACCTCGGGCTTTAGAGGAAAGGAATCCCCCTCCCCCCCATCCTGCCGCTGCTCTGAGCCCCGACGCCCACTCCCAGCAACGGGGCCTGGACCGGCCTCCGCTGACCTCCACTCCTTCGACCGGCGCTCCTCTTCGCTCTCCACATCCAGTCACGTCTCGTCCCATCAGCCCCGAGGAAATGCCGTCGATTGACAGTCCCATGGCCCCCGAGGGTGTGGTGGGCCCACGGCACAGAAACCCCTTCTTTCATTCAACACTGAGCCCCGATGGATGGAGATAACGATACCACAAGTGAAAGCAACAGCACAACCATCTCCAACCTCCGCCCTGAGGCAAAGGAGACCTGGGGAGTGAGTGTCGCTGGGCGGCCTCCAGGGCCCACCAGGTGGCGGGGGACCACGGAGCGGATTTCTGGAGCGAATGTCTGACGCCGTGAGGAGGAGTGACTGGACGATATTTTTTCTTTTGAGAGAGTGGAAGGGAGGGGGAGAGGCAGAGAGAGAAAGGATGTGAGAGAGGCACGTGGGTTGCCTCCGTCAGTGTGAGCCACGGAAGGGAATACGCATCCAGACAAGCAGTACTGGCAGCCACGCTATCCACACAGTGTGTGTGGTGTGATGTGCCGTGTGCCATTAAAACGATCTGAATAGGCCCGGGGCGTGTGGCTCAGTGGATAGAGCATTGGCCTGCGGACAGAAGGTTCCTGGGTTCGATTCTGGTCAAGGGCACGCACCTTGGTGCAGGCTCCTCCCTGGTCCAGGCCCTGGTCGGGGCTCGTGCAGGAGGCAGCCAATCGATGTTTCTCTCTGAATCGAGCCAGGGCTGCTTGCTGAGAGCACGGCCTTGAACGTGTGCAGGGCCTGGGTCGGCGCCCCCATCAGGCCGCAGACAAGCGCAGCATCAACCTTCAGAGAGGCCGTGTCTCTGAGGGGAACGTCAGTTCTGCAAAGAACTTGGAGGAACCTTCATTTCCTGATTATGCTTTTACTGGGAGAGCTGACATTTATCCTGATAGGACGTTTCCTTAATCCCTTAGTGACTTGTAGCTAAAATAACAACCTACAGAGGGAAAACCCGGTGCGACTGCAGAGCCCCCCTGCCCCCGTCCCCCGTAAATGCTCTGCTCTCGGACGACAGGCCATTAAAGGACAATCTCTTAGCCCGGCCGGCGTGGCTCGGGGGTTGAGCATCGACTCCCGGTCAGGGCACAGGCCTGGGTTGCGGGCTCGATCCCAGTGTGGGGCGTGCAGGAGGCAGCCGGTCCATGATTCTCTCTCATCGCTGATGTTCCTATCTCTCTCTTCCTCTCCCTTCCTCTGTGAAATCAATAAAAATACATATTTTTTAAAAAGCAGGAGACCTATTAGCTGCTTATTTGTGCATCTTCGTAGCTCTTTCTTGATGTTGAATAAGGGGTATATCGAATGGATATTGGCCTCCAGGTATGACAATAAAATGCTCATAAAAATAATAAGTTGAATGGTTGCTTTTAAAGAAAAGCATCTCACGTCTTATTCGCCTGTGACGCCCTCCGGCTTCTGTTCGCGGTGAGTGTGCGGATTCCTGCCTCCGGGTCGTTGCTAGCAATCAGTCTGTCTAGATTTGCCGTTTCTCCCCGTTCGGTCCTGGCAGGTCGTCGCTGCCGGACGCGTGTCCGTACCCCAGGCTGCCCCTGGGCGGGAGGCAGCACGGACCGCCTTCTCCAAGGCCCTGCGCATTCTGTGGCGTCGGCTGTAGCCCCGCTCACTTGTGACTTCAGTGGCTTGAGGCTTCTTTCCTGGAGTTTGCCTGAAGGTTTGTCAGCTTTGTATCTTCTCACAGGGCGAGCCCCGGTTTCAGTGCCGTTTCCACTGGCGCGTTTTCATCTCTGTGGCGTTTACAGCCGCTCGGTCTCTATTAGTCCCCCCTGCTGTTGGTTCTTCCCTTCCCGGTTCCTTTGGGTGGAAAGGTGGGTCGTTTATTTGAGCTTTTTATTGTTTCTCGAACCTGTGTGGCTATGAGCCTCCTCGTAGAGCTGACTTAGTTGTGTCCCGTACGTTCGGGGAAGTTGTGTTTCTCATTATTTGTCTCAGGGTCATTCTTTCTTTCCTGTTGAGTTCCCGTTGGACCTGCTGGTTGCTTCCTCGCCTGGAGTTGGCTCCACGTGTGTGCGCGTGTCTGTCCCGTCTTCTTCCCGCTGTCGATTTCTAGTTTCCCACCACTGTGGTCGCAAAGGGTGCTCGATGGACTTCGATCTTCTTGAATGTATTGAGGCTTGTGCGCCTGAAATAGAACCTTATCCGGTTTCTGAATGAACTTTTCTATAAATGTCTAATATGGCATTTAAAGCCGTTATCTTATTATTGATTTTCTGTCCGGATGATTTATCCATTGACGTGAGTGGGCAGAACGACCCCTACTATTATGGGATGGCCGTCAATGTCTGTATTTGCATCTATTAATAATAATTACTTCTTATGCTGAGGTGCCCGTATACTGGGGGCATAGATATTTACGATGGTGCGGCCCCTCCTGGGGCTGACCCCTCTATCGGTATGTAATGCCTTTCCTTTGCATTCTTTGTTTTAAAGTCTATTTTGTCTGCCATGAGGACGGCTAAGCCAGCTTTCCTTTCATTTCTATCTGCGTGCGACACCTTTGTCCATCCCTTCGCTTTCCGTCTGCGGTGTCCTTAGACCTGAAGTGAGGCTCTCACAAGAAGCACATAGACCAGCCTTGTTCGTAGTCCATTCATCCACCCCTTGTCTTTCCACTGGAGCATTTAATTCATTTATATCCAAAGTGACTACCGGTAAGTATGTGCTTGTTGCCGTTTTGTTCACTGTCTTTGTAGTTTTTCTCTGTTTCTTTGCTCTACTGATTGCCTTTGCAGTTTGTGGTTTTCCTCAGTGTTTTGCTGGGTTCCTTTCTCTTCATTTTCTGTGTGTCTTCCGTAGGTTTTTGGTTTGTGGCTCCCATAGGGTAACGTGTACCGCTCCGTGTCAACAGCAGCCCGTGTGAGGTCAAGAGGCATGTACGTCCAACTACATTCTTACTCCCCTTCCACCTTCATGTTTGTGATGTCATATTTTAGATCTTTTCATTTTGTGTGAAACTACGACAACATCAGTTTGTTGTTGTTAATCCTCACCCGAGGATATTTTTCCACTGATTTTAGGGAGAGTGGGAGAGAGAGGGTAAGATGAACACATCGGTGGGTTGCCTCCTGCACGAGCCCTGACCAAGCCCAGGCCAGGGTGGACCCTGCAACCAAGGTACAACATGCCCTTGACCGGAATCGAACCTAGGACCCTTTGGTCCACAGGCCGACGCTCTATCCACTGAGCTACACCGGCCAGGGCTACAATATCAATTTTTTAAAAGGCCAAGGCCCTCCATGGGTGATAAACACCTCCAAAATGGAGTTCAGAAAGAAACGCCAGCCCGGCGTGCAGCCGAAAGCTCAGTGCCTTTGTGTTTCGCTCTCAATTCCAGGAAGAATGTTTTAAAGCTCCGTTCCCGGCTCCACGTCTTAACATAAAACCTGTCCGTGTCCCTTTCAAGAGCTGGTCTCGGCAATTGCACTGTCTAATGACTGAGTGAGAAATTGGGCTCCTGGCCGGCCCAGCAGGCTCGCTCCTGACGCTCCGCCAAGATCAGGGACCGGCTAACGAGGCCTCGCCGCGCGTGGCGCTGGTTATTGATGGCCCTGGAGCAGCTCTACCCTTTGAAACCCCGTGAGCCGGGCTTGTTATCACCGCAGGAGCGACTTCCACGCCGCGGGCCCATGATTCATGGGGAGCGTCTCCTGTCATCTGTCTGATCTTCATGGCGTTACCTTCAGCGGGTACCCCTCTGTGTCCGCGGTAGCCGAGGGCGTGGACTGTGGTGGGTGTGCTATCACCACACCCCCTCTCCTGTGTCGCCCCCTCTCCTGCGGGACCACTCCGATCGCATCTCAGGCCCCTCCCATGACTCCCGCGGCCAGGTGGCCTCTGCCTGACCCTTCGGTGCATCTTTCACTGGAAGCCATGGCCGTCTTTGTTCTTCACGCAAACATCCATGTTCCCATGCAGCAGCGGCTCTCCACGTGGCTGCAAAGGGCTGTACCAACCCCGGCTCCACCTCAGAAATCCTAGGGACTCGGGGTTCTCTGGGGTGGCGTCTCGGAGCCTCTGACTGCACAGCTGCCAGGGCCGATTCTCACGGCGTCTGGGACGCGTCCGAGTTCGAGGGCTGTGTGCTGATCTTCAGAAATCCCACCCCCAGGCAATTCCCCCAACAGTGCTTTCGGGGGACCTGCCCGAGGAAGGTGATGGTTCTGGTTTCAGAGACGGAGCAACAACGTTCATCTCCAGACCATGAGCCGCTTTTGCTTCTCAGGGGACACATTTCCAGAAATCCCAAGGGAGGGCCACAGCATAACAAGCCACCAGGTCCACCGCGGACCCTGTCCTTCTCGCCGCTCTCTTCCCTTCCTCGCCAAACACAAAGGACACGCACGGCACGTCTGAAGCCACAAGACGCCAATCGGTCACTGAGGTCGGGCTGGAGAGGCCGTGGGAGACCCGTGTGAGGACATCCCCTCCTTCCACCTACGCACCAAGTCCTCCTCTCCTTCTGTGGGAGCAGCGGGGGACGGGGGGAGGGGCGGGGGGGTCTCAGAGAGGCAGGGCCTCCAGCCCTCACCTAGGGCATCTGTGCACCCGCATGGCTAACTCAGCGTGTGGGAGCCCCACTCGGGCGTGATGACAAGCGCGACAGCTACGAGGACCCGCCGGGCGTGTATCCACAGCTGGGGTCACTCAGAAGCCTGGTCGCACGGAGGCCACCCTGTGCCGTTACCGACAAGTCCAAGCAGGAAGTTGATTTTCTTTAATCCTCGCCCGAGGGCATTTCCCATTGATTTTTAGGGAGAGGAAGGGAAAGACAGAGAGAAACATCCATGTGAGAGAGACACATCGATGGGTTGCCTTTTGTACACGCCCTGACCTGGGCCCGGGCAGGGGAGGAGCCTGCCACCAAGGAACGTGCCCCTGACCGGAATCGAACCCGGGACCGTTGGGTCCGCAGGCCGATGCCCCATCCACTGGGCCACACCAGCCAGGGCTGCACAAACTATTTTTAAATGTGATCCTGAGTCCAATGACTTCGTTCCGAGTCAAACACGGTGCCGTGACCAGGCCTCGGATGGAGTCAGTGGCTCGGGTGTTGGCTCCACGTCAGCCACGGGTCCCTCCGGTTCCTCGTCTGCTGGACTCTCAGCGCTCCTTCCCGTCCCGCTTCCCAGCTGTCGGAGCCGCCTTCGCAGTCTTGGTGCCCCCTGACCCCTATCTCTGATCCCTCCCCTGCTTCCCTTTGCAGATCCTGTTCATGGGCATGATGACCGAGCACTACCACTACCTCTTCACCACCCTGGTAAGCACGCCCCAGACACGCGTCCGTGACTGCAGACATGCATACGTGACTGCAAACACGCATCCATGACCGCAGAGACGCGTCTGTGACTGCAGACATGCATACGTGACTGCAAAACGGATCCATGACCGCAGAGACGCGTCTGTGACTGCAGACATGCATACGTGACTGCAAACACGCATCCATGACCGCAGACAGGCATCTGTGACTGCAGACATGCATCTGTGACCGCAGACACGCGTCTGTGACCGCAGACACACGTCCGACCGCAGACAACGTGACTGCAAACACGCATCCATGACCGCAGACACGCATTTGTGACCGCAAACACGCATCCATGACCGCAGACACGCATCTGTGACTGCAGACATGCATACGTGACTGCAAACACGCATCCATGACCGCAGACACGCATTTGTGACCGCAAACACGCATCCATGACCGCAGACACGCATCTGTGACTGCAGACATGCATACGTGACTGCAAACACGCATCCATGACCGCAGACACGCATTTGTGACCGCAAACACGCATCCATGACCGCAGACACGCGTCTGTGACTGCAGACATGCATACGTGACTGCAAAACGCATCCATGACCGCAGACACGCGTCTGTGACTGCAGACATGCATCCGTGACCGCAGACATGCGTCTGTGACCGCAGACACGCGTCCGTGACCGCAGACATGCATCGCGAGGGCAGCATGAGGGCAGGGCGCCTCTCCTGACCCTGAGCTGGGCGCAGCACTGAGCTCTCGGAGTTCTGCCCTCTGCTCCCGGGTTCTCAGGGAAGGGCAGCGGGTGAGAGATGAGGGTCCGTCAGACCTGCCCGTGGCCCCTTCACCTCGGACAACGGGCTGCCTTCCTCACCCAGTGACATCATAGCAGGACTTTTCTTAAATAGACTTTTTTTTATTGATTTCAGAGGGAAGGGAGAGGGGAGAGAGATAGAAACCCTCATGACGAGAGAGAATCACTGTTCAGCCGCCTCCTGCACACCCCCCACTGGGGATCGAGCCCCGAGCCGGGCCTGCGCCCTGGCCTGGAATTGCACCCGGGACCCCTCAGTCCGCAGGCTGACGCTCAACCACTGAGCCAAGCCGGCTGGAGCGTTGTGAGGGCGTTTCATGGAAGCTGTTTTCTGTTCAATGATACTTTGAAAGGTTGGTTTAGACTTAAACGGGTTATATATTTTTAATCACACCGTTCACAGTCTGGCCTTTTTATAGAAAAAGTGAGATTACCACGTGTGTCTGTTTTAAATGTGAATCCACTCATGCCGTCTGGTTTGGCTCTGCCTCGTCTGTGATGGAAAAAACGTGGGGGGAAGGGGGCGCTCGTTTCCTGAGACCTTGCTTGGGGGGGAGCGGGTTCTCCTGTGAAGATACCCCCACAAACACGTGCATGCACACCCGCACACGCACGCACACACACACCTGCACACACACACACATCTGCACGTGTGCACACACACGCACGCGCGCACACACACACCCGCGTGCACACGCACATCAGCACACGCACGCGCGCACACGATGTGAATCCACTCATGCCGTCTGGTTTGGCTCTGCCTCGTCTGTGATGGAAAAAACGTGGGGGGAAGGGGGCGCTCGTTTCCTGAGACCTTGCTTGGGGGGGAGCGGGTTCTCCTGTGAAGATACCCCCACACACACGTGCATGCACACCCGCACACGCACACACACACACCTGCACACACCCGCACGTGTACACACACACGCACGCGCACACACGCACACACACACCGGCACACACACTCACACCCGCATGCACACACACATGCACGCACACGCACGCACACCAGCACACACAAACACACACGTGCGTGCACTCGCAGGCAGGTGCTACCGCAGGTGCAGGGGAGCTTCTGTTCTCCCTGAAGCGGGGGGACCTTTTGTTCCTCCTCCGAGCTGGTGCTGTGAGCGCCGTCCTGCCCGGCTGTGTCCTTTCCGTGAGGGAGCTTCCTGTCCAACGCTGGGCAGTTTCCAATCTCCCTCCTTTGAAGATGTGGGAGGTGAGATGGTCTTTCCTGGGGGACCATGTGCCTCAGACCACAGCTGCTGTATAAAATAAAGGCACTGCCGGCCGGCGCGGCTCATGGTTGAGCATCGACCTGTGATCAGGGTTCAATTCCCGGTCAGGGCACAGGCCCAGGTTGTGGGCTCGATCCCCAGTGCGGGGCGTGCAGGAGGCAGCCGGTCCATGGTTCTCTCATCACTGATGCTTCTCTCTCTCTCCCTCTCCCTTCCTCTCTGAAATCAATAAAAAAAAAAATTTAATCTTTTTACTAAAATAAAACAAAGGTATTGATCCAAATGGACACAGAGACCCTGCCAGTTCCCGATGAGGATCCTGGAAACGGAGCCCCCGCCTCTCAGAGTCTCCCAGGCCCCGCCCGGCGCCCGCGGGCTATCATCTCCCTCGGTTTCTCTGCCCTCGGGCTGCGGACAGTGGACAGGGACGGGACAGAGCTGCTTCCTGCCGGGGGGGCAGGGGT